CATTGTGCGCTTCAGGTGGATCACGCCTTGATTCACCTCAGATAGATCACGCCATGATATGCTTCAGGTGGAACACGCCATGATGCTCTTCAGGTGCATCACGCCATAATGCACCTCAGATGGATCACACCATGATGGGCTTTAGATGGATCACGCCTTGATGCACCTCAGATGAATCACGCCTTGATGCGCTTCAGGTAGGTCTTGCCATGATGCACTTCAGGTGGATCCCGCCATGATGTGCTTCAGGTAGGTCACGCCATGATGCACTTCAGGTGGATCACGCCATGATGTGCTTCAGGTGGATCACGCCATGATGCACCTCAGATGAATCACGCCATGATGCGCTTCAGGTGGATAACGCCATGATGCGCTTCAGGTGGATCACGCCTTGATTCACCTCAGATGGATCACGCCATGATGCGCTTCTGGTGGATTCTGCCATGATGCGCTTATGTTGGATCACGCCTTGATTCACCTCAGATGAATCACACCATGGTGCACTTCAAAGTTTAAATGAGGTTAGTGCATGTTGTAACCATTTTGTATTCATTGCTCAACAATAGGCATGGCTAACATAGATATGGCTAACATAGGTATGGTTAACATAGGTATGGCGTTCATAGGCCTTGACAACATAGGCATGGCTAACATAGGCATGACCAAAATATAAGCATGGCTAACATAGGCATGGCCAATATAGGTATGGCTTACATAGGTATGGCTAACATAGGCATGGCTAACATAGGTATGGCTAACATAGGTATGGCTAACATAGGCATGGCTAACATAGGCATGGCTTACATAGGTAACGCTAACATAGGCATGGCTAACATAGGTATGGCTAACATAGGCATGGCCAACATAGGCATGGCCAACATAGGCATGACCAACATAGGCATGGCTACCATATGCATGACCAACATAGGCATGGCTAACATAGGCATGGCCAACATAGTCATGTACATAGGTATGGCTAACATAGGCATGGCTAACATAGGCATGGCTAACATAGGTAAGGCTAACATAGGCATGGCTAACATAGGTATGGCTAACATAGGCATGGCCAACATAGGCATGGCCAACATAGGCATGACCAACATAGGCATGGCTACCATAGGCATGACCAACATAGGCATGGCTAACATAGGCATGGCCAACATAGGCATGGCTAATATAGGCATGACTAACATAGGCATGGCTAACATAGGCATGGCCAACATAGGCATGGCTAACATAGGCATGACCAACATAGGCATGGCTAACATAGGCATGGCTAACATAGGCATGGCTAACATAGGTAGGGCTTACATAGATATGGCTAACATAGACATGGTTTACATAGGCACGGCTAACATAGGCATGGCTAACATAGGTAAGGCTAACATAGGCATGGCTAACATAGGCATGACTAACATAGGCATGACCAACATATGCATGGCTGACATAGGCAGGGCTAACATAGATATGGCTAACATAGGCATGGCTTAAATAGACATGGCTAACATAGGCATGGCTAACATAGGCATGGCCAACATAGGTATGGCTTACATAGATATGGCAAACATAGCCATGGCTATCATGCATAGCTAACATAGGCATGGCTTACATAGGCATGGCTTACATAGGCATGGCCAACATAGGCATGGCCAACATAGGCATGGCTTACATAGGCATGGCTAACATAGGCATGGCTAACATAAGTATGGCTAACATAGGCATGGCTAACATAGCCATGGTGAACATAGGCATGGCTAACATAAGGGACTGAAATTTCGGACTGATTTCTATACAGTAATATTTACTAGTCGCTGAAAGGTATTACTTTGGAGAAAAGACAACTTAACTTTCACTCCGTCATCTTTCTTTGATACAGTTTGTGTTTTAGTTTGTGCTTGAAATGCTAAATAGTTTTAACTCATCTTCAAATAATCTTTACAACGTAAACATCACATTTTCCGAAAGATAATAAAAGTAATTGTTTTTTTTTTTTAAAAAAAAAAAAAAAAAAAAAAAAAAAAAAAAAAAAAAGTTCTTTTCGAAGCGACAGCACCAGCAACAGTCCAGCAACTGTCCAGCAACAGTCCAGCAATAGTCCAGCTATAGTCCAGCTATAGTCCAGCAATAGTCGAGCAATGGTCCAGAAATAGTCCATCAATAGTCCAGCAATGGTCCAGAAATAGTCCAGCAATGTTTCAGCAATAGTCCAGCAATAGTCCAGCAATAGTCCAGCAATAGTCCAGAAATTGTCCAGAAATAGTCCAGAAATAGTCCAGCAATAGTCCAGCAATAGTCCACCAATAGTCCAGCAATAGTCCAGCAATAGTTCAGCATTAGTCCAGCAATAGTCCAGCAATAGTCCACAACAATAGTCCAGAAATAGTCCAGCAGTAGTCCGGCAATAGTCCAGCAATAGTCCACCAATATTCCAGCAATAGTCCAGCAATAGGCCAATAGCGAACCCTATTGTTCTCGACAAAGAAGGGAACATGGAGTGGGAGGGTGACACCAAAATGGAAGAAAGAACAATTTAAAACAGTTCCCTATAGACTTTTTCAAAACAAATTCTAGTTAAATTATAATAGCATAGTCCCATCAGAGCACAGTAATTTCAGAACATAGTCCCATCAGAACACAGTAATTTCAGAACATAGTCCCATCAGAACACAGTAATTTCAGAACATAGTCCCATCAGAACACAGTAATTTCAGAACATGGTCCCATCATAACTCAGTAATTTCAGAACATGGTCCCATCAGAACACAGTAATTTCAAAACATGGTCCCATCAGAACACAGTACCTCCAGAACAATGTCCCATCAGAACACAGTACTTCCAGATCATGGTGCCATCAGAGCACAGTTCCTTCAGAACATGGTCCGATCAGAACACATTATCTCCAAAACATGGTCCCATCAGAACACATTACCTCCAGGACACGGTCCCATCAGAACACATTACCTTCAGAACATGGTCCCATCAGAACACATTACCTCCAGAACATGGTCCCATCAGAACTCATTACCACCAGAGCAGATTGACACCAACCTCTGGTTATTTATACTGACTGATCCCTGGTTATTTTATACTGACCAACCCCTGATTATTGTACTGACTAACATCTAGTTATTTTTACTGACCAAACCCTGGTTATGTTATACTCACCGAACCTTGGTTATTTTATACTCACCCACCCATGGTTTTTCATACTGACCTACCCTGGTTATTTTATACTCACTATATTTGATTAAAATAGCAGAACAAGGTATTTGGAAGCCTTACATTGGAAAGACAAAATAGACATACCTAGACAGCAGTCCTTCATTCATTACCGTGGTTGAGTATTATTTATGTATTATTATAATTATTATTTCTAAAAATAATAATAATAATAATAATATTGAAGTATACATTTCAATAGTATGAATGAAGTATAAGTCTATATTTTCTCTCTTCTTCTAAAAAAGGTTTGTAAAAAAAGATACAAACTACTCATAAAGCGATTTGTTAGTCACAAACGTTTCAATCTATCTGAAGAAATGCAAGAGAACGTTGATCAAGATCAATTATTTATCGTAGTGTCAATGGTGAAATGACCCTTGTACTACACAAGGCGTATATGTTAAGCCGAACACTTACAGTCAGACTTACAGTCAGACTTACAGTCAGACTTACAGTCAGACTTACAGGCAGGCTTACAGGCAGACTTACAGTCAGACTTACAGTCAGACTTACAGGCAGACTTACAGTCAGACTTACAGGCAGACTTACAGGCAGGCTTACAGGCAGACTTACAGTCAGAATTACTGGCAGACTTACAGTCAGACTTACAGGCAGACTTACAGGCAGACTTACAGTCAGACTTACAGTCAGACTTACAGGCAGACTTACAGGCAGACTTACAGTCAGACTTACAGTCAGACTTACAGTCAGACTTACAGTCAGACTTACAGGCAGACTTACAGTCAGACTTATAGGCAGATATCTCATGAAAACCCCAAAGAATTAACGCTTTTCATTGCCAGGTGTCCTGGTTAAAATATTTGCTAAACAGGATTCATAATTCATTTTTTAAATAAAAACGTGTGTTTGTATAAACTACGTTTGAAAAATTTTGGTTTGTCAATTTGCGTAGGTGTTCAGAAGACACGGAAGACGTGTTATCTGAAGGAGGAATGTCAGGATGCAAGGAAACAAACAAAAAAGTTAATAATAAATATATATATATATTTTTTATTTTTTTTTTGGTATTCCAAACAATTTATTAGTAACAATGCAAATGGTTTATTAGCCGAAGTTGTTGGTTATTGGATCGCCTACTCTGAGATGGTATCTTACATCGGAAATATCAGTCTGTACTATTCAGGAGGATACGTAATTAAATTCAAGGTGCGTTTCAAAAATACATTAGACGTTAGATGAGCTGATTACACAATCGCTCGGTAACTTCCTTAGCCGATTTCCGGCCTAAACAATTCGGGTCTTTGTGGAAATAAAACTCAACCTTATCATCTTTGAACGCAAAAGGTTGTCAATGTCATTAGCGTTGCGTGTATGAATCTAAAGTTGCGTTGAGTCTAAAAGTGTTTTGACATGACAGTGAAACGGACTTTCTCAGATCGTCGGCCAATCAGCGTTCAAAGTGCCTTGAACTTACACGTCTTTTAAAAAGAGGACTCATGGGCGTGGCTTGGGGGTGATATCGGCGGAAAGCAAACAGACCATGTCGAAAGTGGGAGTGGCCTAGATAAGGTAAGGGCAAGGGTAAATGGGCCATAAATCCCCCCCTCGAATTAACGGCCGGTCGGATAGGTTACTTTACGAGAATAGCTGGGTGGGTCGTGATAGGTGAACCGGACGTCTGTCAGTTGCCTGGTTACTGCTCATTCCTACAGGGATACGGCACCCCCTTCAACCCAACAACCCCCCTCCCAACCTCCAGACCCGTGTCACACCCCATTTATCATTTATCGACTAGCTTCTCCTTATCTGTTGAATGTTGATGTTCATCAGTGCACGCCATAGGTCTCACTTCTTCTGCCGGTCCGTCGACTGTCAATACCAGAGACCTACAAATTTAGGAGTTTCATTAATTCTTCATTCCGTCCATTTCATATGTTTTATTCCCATGTGTATGGATTTCGTCAGTGCTGAGCCCAAGCAGTGTATCCACGATGGAATTTTTAACCTTTTCATATTTTTTAAAACGTCATCATTTTTTTTTTTCTTTGAAATTGAGATAATTTTTCAATTCTAGAAAAAAGAAAAAAAATATTGCTCGTAAACGAACTTTGTGATCGGATTTCCTTTCACGTTGTCAAAGATTTAGGGTATGTTATAAATGGTTTAGTTTTTATCGTTGTGAGTTTATGATCATTTTATTAAAAGAAATCATGCTGCATCTGTTTACACCTATCGGATCGTTATTTGATTATTGTATGGAGTTGATGTTTTTTTTTTGATTATATGATGGAGTTTGTAGTTATTGAATACTTGGATGTTAATTGTTTGCCGTAAGAAACTAGTTTGAATTATTCGGCCACACTTATTATAATATTTCATTAATGCCGGCGACTAACATAATTTGCCAAATTTGGGTTTTAATTAATAAAAAGTCATAAATTTTATACTCTCGGAGCCCCATTTAATAATGGATAGCAAACTTAAACAAGATGCTTCAGATGGGATCATGTTGGATTGGTTTATTTCTCAGAGTATTTATCTTGGGAATAGAATAATGTCAGATAAATAAACCACGGATATACAAAGATTTATAGTGAGATTATCCTTAAAAAACGGTTTACGCCGTTAAAAAAAAAAAACGTTTAACTAAACGAAAGTCAATATTGTCTATCTTTTTTTTGATGTGTTCCCCCCTTTACGTCAGAAGACAGATTGGGATCGCGCATCGGAAGAGAGTTCTGTGCGAGACAACGGAGTGAGCAGTTTTTTTTTTGGTAAAAGAGCAATGCCAGAAATGGCCGCTGTGTGTCAAGATCCTACAGGGACCCCGCCATCCATGTTCGGTGGTCGGGGGCCCCAGGGCATCGGGCCCCCTCATGGCTACTACAACCACTGTGGATACCAGACGCCCGCCCCCCACGGCCATTATGCTTCTGACGGCTACGGGACGTTTCAGGTAATTTACGTTCAAAGACGTGACGTGGTCGTTCTCATGCTACATGTGATTATCATTCTAGAACAGCGGTTCTCAACTTGTGGGTCACAAACCTCTTAGAGGGTCAAACGAGCCTTACACAGGGGTTGCCTAAGACCATCGGAAAACACATATTTATGAAGTTACGAAAATAATTTAATTGTTGGGGGTCACCACAACACGACGAGCTGTATTAAAGGGTCATGGCACTAGGGAGCTTGAGAACCACTGTTCTAGAACATTTTGAACATTTGAAAACAAACAAAAAACAAATGAGAATCTTTCAGAAATACACTTACAACGTATAACCTTTCTATCAACAGCAGTAATGTTTATAATAAATTACAATCGATGCTCACTCTCGACTATTAAAGACTATTAGGTATATATTATAATATAATAAAGCAATTGCTAATCATACTGTTAAGGCTTGTAATTAACAATACACTAAACAAGCCTATCTGAAGATTTTGTAAGACTAACTCTCTAGGTCCTGACTGCCGAACAAATCTGTCTATCTTATTTACATTACATGATGTGTAAAGTTGTCAGTCTATCGTCATATTTTGGGACAGTTTAAAGGTTAAATTTTGGAATCACATAATGCTAATTCAAGTTTAAAAATAAACAGATGCTGATGTTTACCCTAGTTTATGTTTAGGTTTAGTGCCAATGTATTGCATAAAAAGTTATAAACTATTTTATAATTTAGAATTACCGTTTGGATAGATAAACCTGCATTGCAAATAATAATATTTTTTGTATGTCAGTAATAGTTCTTGAGTTATTCAATTTCCTATAATTTCAAAGTCATGGATAATAGATTGTAAATAAATTTACGATTATTGTATTTGTTGTTTTTTTAATACCACATAGAAGTATTTATTTTAAACTGGCGATATAAACTTGAAAAATGCAATAAAATATCATCATTCTTCATTATTTCTTAAAGTCTGATATTATTATCATAACAGATTGAAAAATATTGATAAGCAATCTCATGACCAATTGTCGTGCGTCTTTCTCCAGCAGACGCCTCAAGCAGAGCCCGCAACCCACCAGCAGCACCATCTGCAGCCCCAGCATCTTCCTCAGCACCACCACAATCAGCAGCAGTCCTGGGGCTATGGGCTGCCAATGTCGGCCAACGGCAGGACCAATCACGGCGCCATCAGCGACGAGTGGACGTACATGGTCCCCGGCGGGAGCAGCACCCCAACGCAGGTTGGTAAATGTTGTGATGGCTTATGTGTAGGCACCCCAACTTAGAGGCACCCCCAACTGAGGTTCAAATGGCAGCACCCCACCAAGGTTTTTCTTCTGGTTTATACGTCGACACCGAAACCAAGGTTTATGTCAGCATCCCAGCCAAGGATTTTCGTGGGGTTAATATGTCAGCACCCCAACCAAGGTTTATATGTCAGCACCCCAACCAAGGTTTATATGTCAGCACCCCAACCATGGTTTATATGTCAGCACCCCAACCATGGTTTATATGTCAGCACCCCAACCAAGGTTTATATGTCAGCACCCCAACCAAGGTTTATATGTCAGCACCCCAACCAAGGTTTATATGTCAGCACCCCAACCATGGTTTATATGTCAGCACCCCAACCGAGGTTTATATGTCAGCACCCCAACCAAGGTTTATATGTCAGCACCCCAACAAAGGTTTATATGTCAGCATCCCAACCATGGTTTATATGTCAGCACCCCAACCAAGGTTTATATGTCAGCACCCCAACCAAGGTTTATATGTCAGCACCCCAACCAAGGTTTATATGTCAGCAACCCATCCAAGGTTTAGTGAGCACCTGACCCAAAGATTATATGTTAATACTCCAACCAACCGCTCCCCTGACAAGACCCACAGGACCCCTGACACCGCCAACCGCATACCCTGACATCGCCAACCGCACCACTGACACAATCCAACCGCACCCCTAACACTGCCATTTCCACCCCCTGGCATCACCAACCGCACCCCTGACACAACCCAACGCACCCCTGACATCGCCAACCGCACCCTGACATTGCCAACCACACCCCTGACACCGCCAACTGCACCCCTGACACCGCCAACCACACCACTGACATCGCCAACCGCACCACTGACATCGCCAACCGCACCACTGACTTCGCCAACCGCACCACTGACACAGCCCAACGCACCCCTGACATCACCAACCGCACCCCTGACATCACCAATCGCACCCACGGAGATAGCGGAAACCCTTGCCATTAAAATCGTTGAACCGCTAAATTTATTAAACTGCGTTAATCACTGTTCTTCGTTCCCCCACCCCCCCACCCCCCGGGGTCGCTCCCAGAGATTTACTCATAATTGTTCTGCAAATAACGATGATGAAATAAACTTAGGTCATACATTGTTTTGGAACATGGTCACTTGGACCAACACCACCCTGCTTTCATCTTCTGTTGTTGGGAAAAATGTCTACCGAGTGTTGTTTACATTAATGAGCACTCATTAACTTATAAATATCGATCTTTTTTATTTACAATTAAATATTTTCATTGGGTATATTTTGCAACTATAACACAAATTAATCAATTTAATGTCTAGGACATTTGCTTTTACTGCTATGCAGAGTATGCAGAATCATTTTATTTAAACTGCACATAATTTTGATGAAAACATAAGCTGTGGTACATTAAAACAATATATATATATATACATATATATATATATATATACAACGAAAGAAAAATAAGTGTATTATGTAATTATGTCTTGAAAATCCGATTGAAGTGAATGTATGATACTAAAGTCAAACAATAAATTTTGTTGGCACATTTTTTTGTGTGTGACAACATACATACTTTAGAGTGATTCCAGTTAGAGACCGACCGAAAGTGATTTTCTGATTTCGGCTGAAACCGAAAATAGGCCGAAAGTTTAAAAATGACTTTCGGCCGAAACAGAAAAAAGGCCGAAAGTTAAAAATGAATTTTAGCCGAAGCCGAAACCGAAAATGAAATATTTAGATATTTTGAAATGCGTTCCCGCATACATTCTGCATACATCGAAAATGATGGGGGAAAGTATAAATATTTACATTCTTTTTTATAAAAAATGAGATAATCGTGAATATTAATAAATAAACATCTAATATAACATGTTGTTGTTAAAGATCGTTTTGTTTGTTATTGAACATCGGTTAGTTTGTTTATAAAGATCGCTTAATTTGTTGTTAAAAATCGTTTATTTTGTTTTTTAAGATCGATTAATTATTTTTAAAGATCTTTTAGTTTGATCCTAAGAACATTTAGTTTTCTGTTAAAGATCGCTTAGTTTATTCTTATAACTCATTTAGTTTACTATTAAAGATCATTTGTTTTGTTCTTAAAGATCATTTAGGTCGTTCTTAAAAATAGCTTAGTTTGTTCTTTAAGATCGTTCAGTTTTTTTATTAAAGATCGCTTAGTTTGTTTTAAAGATCGTTTAGTTTGTTTTTAAATGTCGCTTAGTTTGTTGTTAAATATCGTTTAGTTTGTTCTCAAAGATCGCTTAATTTGTTTTTAAAGATCGTTTAGTTTGTTATTAAAGATCGCTTAATTTTTTCTTAAAGATCCTTTAGTTTGTTCTTAAATGTTGCTTGGTTTGTTAAATATCGCTTTCGCCGAGTATTAGATGACCGAAAACCTCAGTCACTTTCGGCCGAAACCGAAAAAAAAAACCGAAAGTAAACTTTTCTCTTTCGGCAGAAACCTAAATTTAGCCGAAAGTGATAAAATGTCTACTTTCGGCGCCGAAGCCGAAATTCGGTCGGTCTCTAACTCCAGTGTTGTAATCATACATAAATTGTGACTACCAATAATTATTGCACTACATCAATATATCACCAATTGGTAGCTTTTTTTTTTTTATATAGCAAACTACCAATAGCCGCTTAGAAGCCACTGGTAGTGGAATACCAATGGCTCTCTAGAAGCTATTGGTAGTTTACTAAAAATACCTCCGTACAAGCTATTAGTAGTAAACTACCAATAGCCACAGCCTCTATTTAATCTTCTAACATAAAAGATATCGACTGACCTAATAAGTCACTATAAGAAATCGAAGCCCGAGTCGTAAATAAATGGTGCGAGTCCGAGGTCGTGGGTTAAGCCGACACCAACCTGGCTCGGTTACTAGATTTTAATCTGTAAACCACCCGCTATAAATAGCTCACTGGTCATGTCAATCTAACCATGGCGGTAACATTTGGTCACTTCATTATTAAAGTTGTACTTAAATTATTTTGGATTTGTTCATTTGTAGACTAATATAAACATTGTATCATCTCCACTGGAAAACAAAATAGTATTATGCGTTTGAAAAAATGATTTTAAAGACAAAAATCTTGTCGGGGTGGGGCTCTTTTCAAAACATATTAGATCAACGGTTCTCAACCCTTTCCCAGGGTTCGACTAAGACCATTGGAAAACAAATGTAATATACAGTTATGAAGTAGCAAAGAAAATAATTTTGTGCTTGGGGGGTCGCCACAACATGAGGAACCATATTTAAGGGTCACGGCATTAGGAAGGTTGAGAACCACTGTGTTAGATACTTTTAATCTCTCATCTCCTTATGCTCTGTCACATTTCACGTGCTGGCCTCTCGAATACTACATTTCAGCTAAGTCTTATTTTTTAAAAAATCTAATTCTGTTTTAACTGTTGTTTGTTCGCTTGTGAAGGCTTCTTGCCGACACGTTCCTTATTTTGGTGCGTTCTTTTTTTTTTTTTTTTCTTTTCGTGGATTTTCCATAATTTGTTTCACTCATCCCCAGAAGATACATTTTTATATTTTGCTTTTGTTCCGTTAAAAGTTTATTTGTTTTCCGTAACTCTGACTGATCTTATACTAACTTGTAAATGACGCTTTTTTTTGTTTGTTTTTTTTTTTTTTTTTTTTCTTTTCGTGGATTTTCCATAATTTGTTTCACTCATCCCCAGAAGATACATTTTTATATTTTGCTTTTGTTCCGTTAAAAGTTCATTTGTTTTCCGTAACTCTGACTGATCTTAGACTAACGTGTAAATGACGCCATGCATTTTTATTATCATTTCCGTTTGTTTTCTTCTTTCAAGAATCACTACAACTACCAATACAGACCCAACACACACACGTCCTTGGATTACGCGTCCCCGTTGTCTTCTGGCCAGGACACCAATACCCAGGGCCTGGACGGGTCACCCTCACCAGGGGCCCCCTCACCGGGAGAATCCCCCGGAGCCGGGATCGGCCCCAACAACCAGGGAGCGAAATCTCTGAGACCGCCGTACGAGTGGATGAAACCGTCAGCAGGACTTCCACAGTCAGGTAAGTCAAGCATGACACTTGGACGGGATGACCTCAGTCGCTCATAAGTCAGCGATGCAGACACACCCCCTTAACCACCCCAGCTATTAAAAAGAAGGGAGGTAGAGAGGTGTTGTTTTTTTTAAATTTAGTTAATTTAAATAAAGTTATTTCACCTTAGGGATCGCACCCCCCAAGCCCATATGTCACTATTATAACAAATTTAGAGATCGCACCCCAACATGTCAATAGTATAATAAACTTGGGGATCGCACCCTCAACATGTCAATAATATAACATCCTTGGGGATCGCACCCCCAATATGTCAGCAACATAACAACCTTGGGGATCGCACCCCCAATATGTCAACAACATAACAACCCTGGGGATCGCACCCCCAATATGTCAACAACATAACAACCTTGGGGATCGCAACCCCTACATTTCAACAATTTAAAAATCTGTTGGTTAAAGGGAAGAGAGAGACCAAACATACCCTTCTCAAACATCTTCGCTGTCAGTCTCTTAGCTATAGCCTCGAAGTTAGTCTCTTAGCTATAGCCTCGAAGTTAGTCTCTTAGCTATAGCCTCGAAGTTAGTCTCTTAGCTATAGCCTCGAAGTTAGTCTCTTAGCTATAGCCTCGAAGTTAGTCTCTTTATAGCTATAGCCATAGCCTCGAAATCAGTCTCTTAGCTATAGCCTCGAAGTCAGTCTCTTAGCTATAGCGTCGGGGTCGGATTTCCCATAGGGTAAACCTTATTTAAGGCGCAGCAGTAAAAAGGGGGGGGGGGGGGTATGTACAGAAGCACTAAAACAAAATGTAGTCACAGTTTTCATTAAATTTTTTAAAAAATGCCATGTATAAATGTTGAATTTAAAACATAATATGGTTCAAGGATTGTATTAAGGGATAGAGTCTAATGTTTTAAACAAATATTATACACTAAATGGGAAATTATAAATATATATATATATTTGGGAGGCGCCTTTGTGGGCTTTCTAGTGCATACATATGGACATCCGGCCCTGATAGGACTTGAATATGAAAATAAATATATAATACTTAACAGGTTTGAAAAGTGAAATCGGGTATCTTTAAAACTTGTTTTGAGGGCCTGCTACAAAACTATTCTCAAATCACTGGCTGGAGAACCACCTAAACGTTGTTTGCCTTTTGGAAGCCCGTGGGAAGTCTTAGCGGTCCACGATGGCCCTCGCACTGGTGACGACTACGAACCACCGAGTCATGACGTGTGCCAGACGAGTGTTTAAACCCGTGTCCCGTGGGTCATTGACGAACGATCACCATCTGGCAGAGACCATGACACACGCGTCTGTCTGTCTTCCAGCGTCTGACACCATAGGATGGTCTCGCTGACTATTTACACATGCCCATAGACGGAACTGGATGACACACCAGACACGGGGCCTTGCCATGTAATGCACAGAAGCAATGCTAATACGAACTTTTTCATTGTTCCGCTCTAATGTTACTGTGTCTATACTCGCATCATGTGGTTGTAGAAAGGCTACCACCCCCCCCCCCACTTTTTTTTTTTTTGAAAGCCTTTTTATTAACTTTGCTTTTTTTTAAGTTTTTTTTTTTGGCGAAATCTTCGAGAGACTAATTGACCCTCTTCCCGTCATCCTATCGAGCTGAAACTTGACACATAGAGTCGTTGCTGATGACAACACATTTTTTTTTTCAAATTTTAAGCCCAGAACAGAAATTACTGTTATATTAATACTGCCTAGTGACAGTTGTCAAAATATAATTCGATACTTGCAGACTTTAAGCTTGTTTCAATAAGTTTATATGGTGCAAAGTGTGTGTATATATATATGTTTTATGTTCAGTTTGTATTTTGAACAGCAATCGGAGTTTATTAATACATGTGAAAAAGTGTGTCCATGAAAATAATGTTGAAATTAAAAATGACACACAAGATCCAGTTATAATTTTTTTTTTAAATTTGAAACTGTTAACTGTGTCGTAATAAACACAGGAGGATCATAAGTCACCTCGACTTGAAAGTACTCAGTACCACTAAGATACTCGGTGCCAGCAAGAAGTACGGACAGGTACGCCACGCCACGCCACGCCGCTCTAAGTCCCTGCTAGCACCAACTCAACTTTAGATTTCCTCCCATTGAGTAGTCTGAGTAGTCATAAGACACGTAGTCTGTGGATGAAGTGGTCCTTGTGTCCAGATAAGCAATGAGATACGTCATCGCCAGCAATGAGGCGGGGCTTTGGGGATGGGGGGGGGGGAGTTGTGAGGGAGGAATGAGTTAAACCATAAAACCTACCCAGACTAAAAGGTTTGAAATGGGCAGTCTGTGAGGCTTGTTTTTTTTATTTGTATATAGAGATAACTCCGTGTGCCTCTAGTTTTGAACTAGATGTAAGAACAACACTTGAAATGTATATTTATTTACGAATTTCTCATTTGATCAGTAATACTACTCTAACTTTTTTCTCTGATCAGTAAATCTACTGAAAATTTCTGGTCTGATCAGTAAATCTACTGAAAATTTCTGGTCTGATCAGTAAATCTACTGAAAATTTCTTGTCTGATCAGTAAATCTACTGAAAATTTCTTGTCTGATCAGTAATTCTACTGTAAAAATCATCCGTCATCTTAAATTGTTCACGTTTGTTTTAACTTTGTCAACCTACTTTCTGTGGTATCGGCTAGTTTGTTGTTGTTGTTTTTTTTTTTGTTTTTTTTTTTTTTTTTTTTTGCCCTAACTTTACTGTCTTTAGAGCTTTAAAAAAATATATTAAAAAATAGACTTAATACAATAAAGTCCGGGAAAACCACTTCCAACGAATCTTTTTTCTTTTTTTTTTTTTTGTTTTTGTTTTTTTTTTTGTTTTTTTTTTTTTTTTTTTTTTTTTTTTTTTTTTTGTTTGCACTAACTTTACTGTCTTTAGAGCTTTAAAAAAATATATTAAAAAATAGACTTAATACAATAAAGTCCGGGAAAACCACTTCCAACGAATCAGCTTGGGTGTAGACTATATGCGACAGACAGATTGCTTCTTATGATTTTCAAATATAGCGTATTGTAGAGACGAGGTGTCGAAGTTATAGGACTACAAGTTTTGACGCTACGACGAGACAAATATGCCTTTAAAGCTCAAACGATGGTAGGAGCGTATAGCAATTTGCGGGCTATCGGTTTTGAAACCGGAACAGTTGAGAATGTGTTGGGAGAACAGGATTCCTAAAACTAAACTGTTTCCAGGTTAACCCTCGCCTTAACTCTCCCCCAACCCAATAAATTTAAAACAAACAAAAAATTAATATCAAACGTGGGTGTGGATTCGAAACCATTATAAAATACACATATGGTAATAAATATGAGGATCAGTGTGTTGCTTTTCTTTTAAAAATGGTGTACTAACAAGTTGGTATTATAGGAAAAGAGATTTTTGCAAGAGTTCGCTACACGCTCGTGTTGTGAGAGACTCGCCGCGAAGGGGCGAATCATTACGAACTCGTTATCGACGACAAATTTCTAAGTGGCTTCAATAAATCAGCGCCCTGTTTTTGATGTCGGTCAACAGGCGATCAAAGTGCCCCCCCCCCCAACCAACCAATGAACCGATTCACAGGTCCTGTGAGTGTGTACAGAAAGGGAGGGTGGGGGTGGGGGCAGGTCGTAAGGAGGGGGCATGGGGGGTGCATCTTTGAACACGGTAAGGTCAAAGAGAGTCGTAAGTCCCATGAAAGAGCTTTAGCTAATTGATGTATGCAGACGTCCTCCATATCAAACCCTCGGCCTTAGAAAACAAAGACGTCATTATAAATCTGAGCCTCAGAGAGGACCACCAGAGCCGTAGTACCCGCAACCACCTTATGGAGCGGGGTGCCCGAGCTGCTTAACTGCAACACGTGTTTTTAGCAGATCCAGTTTGATGGGAATCGGATTAAACTTTTTTTTTCCTTTTTTTTTTGTTTTGCTTTTTTTTTTTTTTTTTTTTTTTTTTTTTTTTTTTTTTTTTTTTGTTTGTTTCATAGTGGAAATGATAATGAGTCAAACGGCGGTTGCAATGTGGATATAAGGTGCGGTGGGGAGTTGGAGGGGAGTGCGCAAGGGGCACTTTATCGAGATAATCCACTGGATCGTTTTAAAAACGTGGCGTTAAGAAACTCTCACGATGACATGTCTATGGTTTCAAATTTAATGACATTTGTCATTGGGAGTATCTTTATGTAAAGTGGGTCATATCCCCGTGTAACACTTTTTTTTTTAATAGGAAGAAACTAGATAATAGAATATGATGATGATTGAATGCTTTTATAGCGCGCGTGTCCATGCCATTTTAGTTTGCTCACAGCGCCTCTGACGCCCTTTAAACCTTTGTAAAGACGCCCTTTAAACCTTTGTAAAGAAAAAAATTCTCGAAATGTTTCTTAAATGATTTCCCTCAAAGGTTGAGGCAAACTGCTCCATTAATTATGCGCAAATAGCTTCAAAAGCATAAATAAATTATTTGTTTAAAAGAATTTTTTTCAATAACTAAACCCACTTAAGTCGAAATTTTACATTAAAATAAAACATACTTCATTTAACTTATGATAAAATGACTATTTTGTACATTAGTTTTTTTGCATACAAACAGAATAAAGTACATTTTTTTTTAAAGGTGGGTTGTCACTCAAAACATTTTTTTTTAATTAAAAAAAGGGAATAATAAGGGGGAGATTGCGACCAAGTTTAAAGATAAGGAAATACGGAACAAAGAGTAAATGAAAGCTTGAAAGAATATGTTTAAAAAAAATTAGAATAATTTTTTAAAATGTGTCGACCAAAGGTCTTCTGGGAGAGTAAACAACTAAATACAAGAAACGTCAAATTAGTTTATTTTCTCATCATCAAGTGCCCACTAGTTACGACATCGACTATTGTTTTGGTTACGCCACTGGGATACACTGATTAACCGATTGAAATAGTTCAACCCCACGAGATTGTGAGATCGTACAAAAAATGAAACTTGGTGGCCCGCCCAAA